GTAATGAAATGGTCAGTACTGATGACCTACAGCCAGGACATGTGAAACGGTGGTCTATCGGAATACACAGCACCACGCTTTTCAAAAAGCTCCTGAGCAATTTCATCCGAGTATACAAATATCACTGGCGTTCCGAATAAATTGATCGACACGATATCACCTGAAGACATAAACCAGGAAAGCTGTTAGATAATGTCAAAGCGAACGCATAGGAGACAAAACCATATTTCTTTCTCCATTCACGCATCAATGTCGGTTGAAGGATTTGACTAAATTCGAAGAAGCTACCAACGAAAGGCTTTCCTAGAGGACCAGGAGGCAACTTCAGACCTGTTTTTATTTAAGCAACATTTAAAGATGATAATCGTAACCCAAACTTTCCTTTTGGTGCTTTGTACTTTCTTCTTCGGAGGTAATCCGCAATTACCAATGTGAAAATGGTCGTAAGCAGTATCCCTAGAAACATCCTAGTGGTCCGATATGTCTTCAAGAAAAGGGCGACGTGATACCTCAACACATGATCTGGGTTAGGGTATATATACATAACTTGTGAGAGAAAAAAGCCTCAAACATGAAGGAGTTCCCGTGCTTTTTTCCGAAATATAACTTGATCACAAGAGGTCGTACGGGTGTTATAATAGAAACTTCTTCGGTTCTTAGATTTTCGTCTACAAGCCTGTCGCTAAAGAGTTGATTGGTTAAATTCAGATATCGCCAAAGTGAACCATGCCTCATTAAGGCTACCAGAGAAAATGATGAGCACGAATGTGGATAGTAAACGCACGGCATGCGCTCACATCAGCTATCAGACACGTGAGTTACACCGATATTCTTCCATGAAGAGGAAATGCAGCTTGGGTTCATATCAACGACAGGAATTATTCGTAATAATAAAAATGAGTTACCAAAACTCAAGTTGCATAAACGTAGAACTGGGAAATGTCCATGAAGTTGCTCTGCATTGTCCCTTTCAACGCTGGATCGAGGTAAGTCAGTGGCCGTGTGGATGAATTGTTTATCGGAATGAAGGTCGAACATGAAGTTTCTTTGAAAGAACAAAAACTGGACATTGGAGTATCATAATGGACTTGAAGGACCGACACTTAACGGTATAAAAGGAAAATAAAGTCTCCTTTCATAAGAATCGTTACATTGCAGTTCAGAGTAAATGCCTTCACTTGTAATATAGTTACAGATTCAATTCGAGTTCTTTATTATCTATAATAAGTTCTTTCGAGAGAGGAGATCGCAATTTAAAAGAACACTGGAAAGGTTCGGGGAAACTGAAGGAGGTATTATCAGGATTTGTTATACCTTACCCATCCGAAACACTCACGATAGTAATGATTCAATAATCCGGTCCGTAACTAGAATGTCATTGCCGTCCTCATCCTTCTTAGGTACGATATCGAACACTTTAAAAATCGATGCTGCGAGGAGAAATAGCATATTTTCAGCGAAAAAACGGCCAGGACATAAGCTATGAAAAGACATCAACCGTTTTTTCTTTTATGTAATGGTATAAAGGAAAGACTACCAACCGTCTTCCGAATCCAAATTGTTCAATTGGAGGGCGGCTTCCGGATTGAGTAAATCTCTCAGGATTAAAGCTTTCGGGATCAGGTCCATATTTCTTATCCCTCAAAATTTGCCTGTTTGAGAATAAGAATTCAGAATCACACTCAAAACGATCGAACTTTGATATAATACCATGAATCAGCGATAATAACACTTCCTTTCGGTATAAAATAATCGCCATAAATATCATCCTCAAGGATGGCATGCGCAATACCCAAAGGCAGAGGGGTTCTCCATCGTAAAACCTCAGACAGAAAGGCGTTGAAATAGGGCAAGTCTTTACAATCTCTTCCAATGTAGGCAACCGATCACCAAGGACCCTGTCGAGTTCTTCGTGTACCTTTTCTTGTACGTCGGGATGCAAAATTGATGCTACTGCTGCTTGTAAAAGTGTGGCGTAGGTCTGTTTTAACGGGTAAATATATATCTCATAGTAAAAACGACCACGTACAGTACCTGCGCCGGCTGAATAAGCAGTACCAGCTACATCCTTGATAATTACCTCTTCCTCAGGCGAGGGATCTGTAAGTCTGCCTAATCTCTGTAAAGAAGCGGAAACAAAGGAATGATCGGGACTAGTCCTGTTCTAATTAAAATTTTATCGATAAGATTGCACATTCAAAAGCGCTGAAAGCTCTCACCTTCACAACATCGAAAGGTATATCAGTAGAGGCTAGAGTTGCCTCCTTATATTTCTTCATAAAATTCTTGAATGGTATGCCAGGGACCCAGTCAGGTATTGAGTTTACTGTATCAGAATGATCTGTCTCGTATCACAATTAAGGGTTTGGATCAACTTACGTTTAGGAAAGATGTCAATCAGCCATAAACCGGGAAGAATAGCGTAACCAACCCCTTCAAGAGCCATATGAATTACGTCGAGAAAAGGATCGTTTTCCGGTTTGACGTCAATAGCGTATACCACCTAATACAGAAAATCATTGACTAATGATGACGAAAAGGATTGTAAAGGAAACTGAGACTTTACATCTATTATAATGCGACCAACAGCATATTTCAGATGTTCAGAGAAATTTTGAGGGGTCTCTAGCAAATCTCGAAGTAATTGCCTTAACAAAAATTTTCTTTTAGCCGGAACCCTCGGATGCGAGAATCTCAACACTCACCGACGTACTTTTAATTTGATTGGTTCGAATGAGATAACAGCCTTGGAATTGAAGAACTGTTGGAATGCCCTGATATGACGCCTCCACCAGTCGCCGTATCGCATCAGAACAAAATTGTAATCCCAACCTAGGCTAAAACAAGGTTGCATGGTGAGCGCTGGGACGTATCGTCAGTGAATAGACTCACAGCCAAGCCATATGAAACGAGGGTCTATCAGAATATAATGAACCACGCTTTTCAATAAGTTCTTGCGCGATTTTCTCAGAGTATATAAACACAATCGGCATTCCGAAGCTATTGATCGATACGATATCACCTAACAAAGCAACAGTAAGTTATTTGTGAAAGACAATAGAATAAAAATAACCATATTTCTCTTTCCATTCATACATAAATGTCTGGTTAAGGAGCTTGGGAAGTTCAAAAAAGTGTCCAACCAACGGTTTTCCTGGTGGTCCAGGAGGTAACTCTAACCCTGTTATGCAAAACGGAAAAGGTAAATTCGGGTGTAAAGACATAATGAATATTGTAATCTTTCCATTTGGAGCTTTGTATTTCCTCCTTCGAAGGTAGTCTGCGCAGGACAATGCGAGAATGATGGTTAGTAGTATCCCAATCAACATGCCAGTAAACAGGGGTCCGAACAAAGAGAGTCTGAGAAATATGCAGGGAGTATTGAATGCATTCACGTGATAGTGAGGAAGAATGCTATTTTTGACGGATAGAATTTCAAGTGCTTCACGTTATGTAAACGAATACCGCCAATTAAAGTAGTTGACATATTTTTCCATACCTTGGTTTCACTTTGTTATTGGGCGAATTATATCTGATTAACGCAAAAGATGGTGGTGCAGTGGAACGTAAGGAGACCCTTATTATCGTAATGTGATTGGTCAGATCGAGATATTAGTATAAGAGCACCTGAATAGCTTGAAGCCGCCCCAAATGACGTCGCTAGGCTCGAACAAACGATCTAGAATGCAACGGCAGTTTGCTCCGAAAAGGTCGGAAGTTGTCCCACTGCTATAGCTCCGGGGTATATATTCAGATTACCGGTCACTGTAACGGGTGAAATATTGAATATTCGAAATAAGACGTTTTCCAACGCCCACGATACGTCCGAAAAACCCTCGAAGTATGTCGCAATTAGATTAAAAAATGGGCTAAAAGGCCACCGAAGCAATAGGGAGATATGATCCACCTTTAGTCGGTGTTTGTGTATAGCCGAGAATAAAACTAGAGCTTTTTTAGACGTGGAATACACCCACACCTACTTATTGACGCCGCCATGTCTCTTTGAGTCCGCATCACAACCGAAGTCAAGAAAGCAGACGCTGCGCTCGAGTAATAAGAATCTTGGGATATTAATACTTTTAATTATCGTTATAGATTGACGATGACGTTAGAGTTTAGGAGGGTAATTGTAACCATTGCAAAGTCATTAAATTGTTTGATTCTACTTCGTCTCTTCTGCTTCTTGAGAATTTCAGTGCCGAAAAGATACAATGCTCAAACGTCCGTTTACCTTGTTTTAAGATTTAATTCCTTTCCTGGTCTTTTGTACTTTAAAGACACTTTCCGATGTCTGATGGTTGAATCTTGATCGGAAGATAAAAGTACTTATAAGTACATAGGTAAACCCGAGAGCATGGTCTGTCACTTTCGATTAAAAAACATTTTCAAAGAAAAGTTTTAGAAAAAAGTTTACTTTTACTAAATATGAAATTTGAGGTCCATCCTAGCAAGGATTAGTGGAAAAAGAGACTGGCTGATTCGTACTAGTAGACTGATGGCCGCGGAGTTGAAATTGAAAAATTCTTTTCAGTTCATTAGTCAGCACTTGAACTTCCGAGGTTTTTCCCAACCACATAGTCAGAGAATCATTCTCCAGCTCAGCTAGGGCCTGCGTCTCAAAAATGGTGGAATGGTTTGAGCTCTTTGTGTTTTGTGAACTTCATATCTGATTCATTGACAAGCTCAAATTCGTTTAGGTATTGTTGGATGTAACTAATACTAATCTATCTATCTATCTATCTATCTATCTATCTTCTATCCTTCTTTATGAATTGGCGTGGGGGTGTCCGTGTGGGTGGCTTATGTCAAAATTTACATAATAATGTTATATAAGCCTTCCCTGCTCAACAGTGGTTGTGGTGGGTTGTGGGTGTGGTGGACTGTGGGTCGGGGGGTTTGTGGGTGCTTTCTGGCAATAAACTGATTCACCGGTGGTTGATGTGGCCTCACTCATTGGTGAGAAGGGGTTTTGATCAATTGATGGAGACACTTAATAAAATGGTCTGGTAGTGCAATGGTAGCATCTTCGGCTGGCTCTGGGATTGCTCATGGGTTCTACTCATGGGTTTGATTCCTGGCCAGACCAAGTTGCAACTGCAGGTATCTACTGTGACAAATGAAATAATCTATGTACAATACAACCTTGACTAATAAATTTATTATACCTTATAAAATTGTAAATGTAAAACTAACTGTGATTCTGAACTATCTCCTGTAAATTTATTGCAACCTTAATTGTCAATCTTAATCTGTAAACTCAGACTGCAAAAGTTGCTTTAACTTTACTTGAAAAATAATTATTAAACTTTGAAGTGAGTTTCATGGGTTCTGAGTCAATTTTATAATCTCTAAAATAAATTCCAACTTTGAACTTTCTGAAAATGTCAACACTATTAATTGAAATCAAATGTAAATTATCACTGAGCAGAATTATGTTTTATATCAGAAAATAAAATCTAACAAGTATAAAATGGAGATGAAAATGGTAAATAGTAAATGGAGTGAAAAGTGGAAACTAAGTGTAGAATGGAAATTTGAAAATTTGAAAACAGAAAATGGAAAATGGAAAACAGAAAATAGACAAACTATAAATTCTGAACTATTTAAAAAGTTGTAAAACTGTCAAGATCAGTAATCTACAAAGGGTACAAGTCACTACATAACTACTATGGAAGTAGTACAGGTGAGTATGATTGAGTACAGGTGAGTACAACTGAGTATGGGAGTTGGACAATGACCTCAGCTTATATGCTGTGTCTATGATTCAGATATTGGTCCGAGTCTGAGAATACTTACCTTGCAGTTCTCTATAATTACTACAGGAATAAAATGAGATAGAGGTTGGTAACAGAGACAAGGCCCTGTGATGAGGTTTAAGTGGTGAGAGATGTGAGGAGGGTTTCTATCAATTGGAATATGATTGTAAGGATATATTTGTCCAAGTAAAGAAAATTATATTTTTTTGTATTCTACTTTATATGATTTTAACTAAATGAAATGAGGAATGGTTTAGGTGGGATATGAAATATAATTAAATAGATGGTGGCAATTATGTTTACATGAAGATATGTGAATGAGAGTTGTCACAGATTGGAGAATTGAGGTCTACAAATGTTTACAGGTGTTGTTATTTGTATGTGGGAGTGCATGGCATACATGGGAGAGAAATATGTTTTTTTATCAGAAAACAGAAAATAATGATGGTAAATAGTAAATGGAGTGGAAAGTGAGAACTAAGTGTAACAAGGAACATAAGGAACATGGAAATAGAAAATAAAAAAACATAGCATATAGAATAGAAATTTGAAATGGCAAATAAAAATTAGAAAATAGAACAACTATAAATTCTGAACTATTTAAAAAGCTGTAAAACATAAAAACAAAAATGTAAAATAGGACTGAACAGACAGTGACTAAATGTAAAAAAAACTAAATGTAAAAAAAACTAAATGTAAAAAAAACTAAACGTAAAAAAAACTAAACATAAAAAAAACTAAACGTAAAAAAACTAAACGTAAAAAAAAATAAACATAAAAAACTAAATGTAAAAAAACTAAACGTAAAAAACAAAAACTAAATATAAAATGGAACTAAATGTAAAACAAAACTAAATATAAGATACTACAAAATATAAAAATATATTTGAACCATAAAACTCAAAATCAAACTGAAAAAAATCAAGGCTGTAACTTCAAATTACTGTGTGGGATTAAACTTGAGTGGGGGCCCGGCTTGCCAGGCATCATCGAGCTTGCTTGTCACTATATGAGTTGGCTGGTAGGTATACCCGTGGGTGGTTTTTGGTCATAATTTATGTAATAATTAACATAAGCAACCCTGCTCAACAGTGGGGGGTGGGGGTTCTGCCAGTTTTTTTGAGTGAAAAGACAAAAATAAAAAAGTTTTTATGAAAAAAAAAAAAGGTTGTAGATTTAGGAGATTAATGAACATTTGGTAAATTTTGATAAATTTGTCTGAACTGTGTTTTTGACCACTGGGGGCAGCAAAAAGCCATGAAAACTGGTGTTTTGAGTGGAAACTTAAATGAAAAATAAAAAAACTTTTTTTTAAAAAAAAAGAAAAAATTCTAAAACTAAGAGTTTAATGAATATTTGAGAAAATTTGATAAATTTGACTAAACAGTGTGTATTGACCACCTGGGGCAGCAAAAAGCCATGAAAATTGTGTTTGGGGAAATTGGACTTAGAATTTTTCATGCGCTTTAAAGTGTCAACAATTGCAACTGTCAGTCCCTGTCATCGGAAAAGCCCACATGCCCCTGAAAGAGTCACTTTGGCTATTATATGAGAGGAAGTTGGAACAACCTCTCAGGCAAACACAGTTCCAAAAAGTGAAAATATACAAATTTAAATGTATGTGGGTTTATTGCTTTTGAAACAAAATAAAAAATTAAATAAAAAAATTTAATTTGTTGGCAGTTGCAGACCAGCAGTGAATACATACCAACTTCAAATATGGGTTTACTTTTTTAAAAAAAATTTTTTTTTTTTTAAGAAAATTAATTTGTTGGTCTGAAACATAGTCCCAATTATCAATTGATCTCAAACTACTTGCTTTTGGAATAAAATTCAAAGTGAAATGTGGGTATTTTGTCAATAAATAAATTGCAGTCTAATAATTTGTGCAGGAATCCACCTTCTACTCCAGAGTGTAATCGTGCTGCAGAATGTGATAACCATATCACAACTCCACTTACAGAGAGATGTCAGCATATTGCCAACCTTCAGAACTGTCCACCCCCACTTCTGCAACCATTTCCCATTCCACCCTCTGAGCTCCAACCACAAATTCCTAATGATGATCCATTTGGACTTGCACACCTTACCCCAACTGCTGCAGTTGCCCAAATTCGTGTACTGGCACCACTTGCACCAACTGCTGCCCCCATCCTCCACACATTGCAGTTGGATCTGCAGCACTTGCTGAATTGTATGCTGCTGCTGAGGCTACAAGCTTGGCTGCTGCACCACGTCGTGGTCATGGTTATCCTCTAACAATTCAGCCATTAGTCCCTCCACATATACATGCACCACTGTCACTTGATCAGTTATGTGCTGCTGCTGGAGCTGCAAATTTTGTAACAGAACCAAACTGTGGTCATGGTCGTCCATGGGGGTTTCAGCAGCCAATTCCACCAATTCCACCAATTCCACCTATCCCACCTGTACTACCTGTTCCACCTATACTACCTATACTACCCCCGCCACGTCCTGCCACTCCACCCATTCTACACCCACCCCTGTTACACATTCCCCCCATCTTATTCCTGCACCATGTGTGGGAGATTATAGTTGGGACCAGTTAAAACTCAAGGTACTGGATGCACGTCGTCAGATTCAGGACAATGTTGTGAGACACAATTGCGGTCCTATGAATCTTGAATGTCCATACTGTCATGCGCTACATTGGTTTATGGAAAGACATAGTGATTCTACTATGCAAAGGCATCTGTTTGGACAGTGTTGTTTGCAAAATAAAATACAACTTCCTGCTCTTCAGGAAGTGCCCCAGCCCTTACTTAGACTTCTCTCAGAGGACTTGGATCAAGTGAAGTATTCAGAAACCACATTCGCCAATATAATGCTGCATTGGCATTCACTTCATTAAAATGTGTTTTCGATCAGGCACTTTTGAGAGGTGGTGGCACTTATGCTCTCAATTTAATGGACACTCTTTACCATAAACATGGTCCTCTGCTACCTCAGGGTGACAGACCTCCCGCTTATGCTCAGCTTTATATATTCGATGCTGCTCAAGCTGAAGGGATGAGAATGCATTGTAATGCCGAACTTGATCAGGAAACTATGCATGAGCTCCAGGAAATGATGTTACAGTACAATCCCTATGTGCCTCAGTATAAATCTGCCAATGAGCGTTTACGTGCCACAGGGAATGTTAATAATCCTATTCAACTCATACTCTGCCATGACCCTAACCTGGACAGTCGAACTCATAACCTACCTGGAGGTGATGAAATCACTGCTGTGATACCTAACAACAATGGAGAATTTCTACTTCGTGAAGCTGCTATCCAGTGTACCACTGGCGAATTCTTTACCATTTCATCCGTCAGTGCTCTATACATGCCTCTTCACTATGTTCTCTTATTCCCTCTTGATGAACTTGGCTGGCATGGTACCTTGCAATATAGGGAGGTTCAAACTAACAAGCTTACTCTAATCAAGTTCTTAGCATATTATTTTCATATGCGTCCGAATACAACAAATAAGCTTTTTCTGGCTGGAAAACTATTTATGCAGTATATTGTGGATGGATGGGCAGCTTCAGAAGAACAGCATTTGGATTATGTTAGGAGGAAACAAAAAGAGCTCTGTGCTGACCTTTACAAATCTGTTCAAGAGACACTGTTTGCTGATGATGGAACTCTGGCCACAGCAGATCTTGGCAGGAAACTTATACTTCCCGCTACCTTTACTGGCAGTTCACAATATATGCAGATGAAACTTCAAAATTCATTCGCCATTATCAGAGTCAGAGGTCTGGGTGATATCTTTGTTATGATGACTGCCAATCCTCAGTGGCCAGAGATTGTTACACATTTACTCCCTGGCCAGACTGCTGTTGACAGACCTGATTTAGTCGATGGTGTTTTTGAAATGAAGAAAACCTTCCTCCTTTATCTCATCACTCAGAAACACATCCTTGGCAAAGTCACTGCGCATGTTCACGTTATTGAGTTTCAAAAACACGGTCTTCCTCACATGCACCTATTGGTTTGGTTGGAGAGAGAGAGTAAATTCCATACCCCTGATGATGTCAACACTCTTATTTCTGCTGAGATTCCTGATCCTGTCACTCATCCCCATCTTCATGCTTTGGTTACCAAACATATAATGCATGGTCCCTGTGGTACAAACAAACCCGATGCTCGCTGCATGGTCAAAGGACAGTGTTCAAAATATTTCCCTAAAGCCTTCCAGAATTATACAACTGTCAATGAAGCGGAGTATCCTCTCTACACACATCCAAATAACGATCGATCTCATGAGATCCGCCATCATCCTCTTCACAATGGTTATGTGGTTCCTTATAACTGGCTTTTGC